CATAGCGGAAGCCACTAATGATTTTAAGACAAAAATAGAAATAAATAGTATAAACAATGAGAATAACATAGAGGTGACAGACAAAAAACAAATAGCTAATGAATTTAATTGTTTCTTTAATAATATAGGTAAAAAATTAGCAGAAAAAATCCCGACAAATAATAAAAAACTAATAAACAAGAACAAAGAAGTAATTAATTCATTTTATCTTTCTCCGGTTTCCGAGGTAGAAGTTAGAAAGCACATTCTAGGGCTGAAGGAGGGTGTTAAAGGGGGAGAGGACAATATTAGTGCATTTATCTTTAAAAGGTACTTGGGTCATTTATTGAAGCCCCTATGCCACATCACTAATGTCGTTTTCTATGCTGGAATTTTCCCTGACATACTAAAAACAACAATAATAATCCCAATTTTCAAACAAGGAGACAATAAATCAACAAACAATTACAGGCCAATATCACTGACCAGTACAATCAGCAAAATAATTGAAAAATGTCTTAAACAAAAGTTGATTACATACCTAAATAAAAACATTTTCTGAATAAAAATCAATTTGGATTCAGGGAAGGTTGCAGCACTGAGGATGCTCTCTGCAAGGTAACTGAGAAGATAGTAAGAAATCTTGACATAGGGAAAAAAGTAATAGGGATTTTCTTAGATTTGCAAAAGGCCTTTGACACAGTGGAACACACAATACTGCTTAAACTTTTGAGTAACATTGGAATCCGTGGTTTAACAAATGATCTTATTAAATCTTACCTAACTGGAAGGAAAAATGATGTGGTTATTGCGGGTGAAAAAAGTAACAAATTGGAGTTAGAGTTTGGTGTACCGCAAGGTACAGTCCTATCAACATTACTTTTCAATATTTATATAGATGGAATCTTATCAGTCTTGGGGGAAGATGAAGTATTTTGCTTTGCAGATGATACTGGAATTATAATCTGTGGTGATAATTGGGAAATTACCAAACAAAGAGCAGAAATATCAATGCAAAAAATTAAAAACTGGTTAGACAATAATTTACTTTCACTTAATATAGAAAAAACTAAATTTGTTGCTTTTTCCCTGTCTAGAAGGGGTCTACCAAGCTTTTCAAAACTTGTACTGCATAAAAATAGCTGTGATATTAATGTAATGTGTGACTGTGATAAATTTATTGAAAGAGAAACGTGTGTAAAATATCTGGGAATATTAGTTGATCAAAATCTAAATTGGAAAAACCACATTGAATATGTCACAAAGAAAGTTAGAAAGCTCATTTTTAAATTTTACGAATTACGAAATATTTTTTCACTGAAAACCTTGATAATGATATATAGTGCAATTGTAGAGTCTGTGATAAACTACGGCATTGTTGTTTGGGGTGGAGCAGGCACTACATTCTTGGCAAAATTACAAATCGCCCAAAAATGGATAATTAAACTAATGCTTTTCAAAAATAAACGATATCCCTCTGAATTAGTGTATAAAGAAAGCAACCTAATGACAATAGACCAATTATATATAAAGGCTAGTGCTAGATTTATGATTAAAACAACATACTATATGGAAAAAATAAAACATAGTCACACTACAAGAACCGCAATACAAAATGATATAATAATGCAAAACCCCAGGCACACAGTAACCCAAAGGCATGTTTACTGTATCGGACCTAAGATATTCAATTCTCTCCCGCAGGAAATTAGATTCAAACCTTACAAACTAACTAAAAAAAATCTTAATAAGTGGATTATGGAAAGTGGCTTTAAAATAGAATATGTAGTGTAAATTCATTTTATTATGTGTACTAGATTCCTATAAATTATATTTGTATTTGCTTATTGTTATGATAGTTTTACTCATGTTGGGTACCATATATGTGTATGTGTAATTTTTCCTTTTCTATTTGAATATTCTTCTGTGATATCGAGCATATTTAGTAGGTATATAGCCATATTTATTCATAAAGAAATTTAGAAAATAGAATTTTGTGTGCGCACACACAGTATTTTAAATACAATTGTGCGTTGTCTATTATTTAGCAGTAATCAGGATACATTGTGATGGCATTTTTGCAAAATTTTTTTATAGACTTTTATTTATTTATTATTATTTTGTGTATTATTATTTTGTAACTCTTTGCTTTGCTAAATAAATTATTATTATTATTATTATTATTAATATTAATTGTTTTCCGTTTAACTCGATTTTTTTCTAATTTTATAATTCTTCTCTCAATTTTTTCAATAATCAATGTAATTTCCATGATTTTTTGAAATTTCTGTGATTTTTGTTAATATTTTTCCATATTACGTAATTTTCCAATAATTTTCGTAATTTTACATAATTTTTGAAATTTCCATGATTTTTTTTCGTAATTTTATAATTCTCCTAATCTTTCAATAATTGTAATTCCCGTATTTTTTTTAAATTTCCGTGATTTTTTTGTAATATTCGTTATTTTTCATTTCACATTCCTGTAATTTACGTAATTTATCAATGACTTTTGTAGTTCAACGTAATATTTGAAATTGCCAATAATTTCCATTGCTTTTGTAATACTCAAATTTTATGATTCTGCTTTTTAGTTTTTAATAATGGTGGTTTCCGTAACTTTTTCAATTTTCCGTAATTTTTGCAATTCTCGTAATTTTTGTTACTTTTCCGTTATACGTTATTTTCCAATGTTTTCGAAATTTTAATAATTTTTGAAATTCCCGTGATTTTTGTAATCCTCGGGATTTTTGTAATTTTTTCGTAATTTCCGTAATTTGCTAATGATTTTTGGAATTCCACGTAGTTTTTGAAATTCCCGTAATTTTTCAAAATAATTTACATTACATAAGTATTTCCATTCCCGGTTTTTTTTGTAATTTTGCAATTCTCATTTTAATTTTTCAATAATTGTAAGTGCTGTAAGTCCTCTTAGTTTTTTAATAATTAATGTATTTCCCGTGATTTTTCAATATTCCCGTGATTTTTGCAATTTTTCCGATTTTTTTCATTTTTTCGCGATCCCTGTAATTTTTGAAATTTCTATAATTTTTTAATTTATTTTTATCAATTCTATATTTTCCGTATTCCTGTATTTTCCGTAATTTTTTAATGGAATTTTTATAATTTTCCTGATTTTTGTGATTTCCGTAATTTTTTGATTTTTTCGTAGTTTCTAATATTTTTCAATTTTTGTAATTCTTTAATAAATTATTTTCGTAATTTTTTAATTCTTTTAATTTTTATAATGCTCATAATTTTTTAAAAATCTAGTAACTTTTTCACTTTTTGTAGTTCTGAAATTTTTGTAATTTCTGCTAATTTCAATTTTTGTAATTTTCGTAAAATTTTCCGAAATTTTTTCAATTCTTATATTTTTTAAATTATCAATTCAAAACTATAGGAATTATATACATAATTCAAAATTTCAAAAAATATTCTGAAATTACAAAAAAATAGGGGAATTACAGGAATTATTCCAAAAATGCAGGAATTACTCAAAATTATTCAAAATTACAGGAATTATTTGTAAATTACGGAAATTTTCTCAATATTACAGAAAATTACAGAATTTACGAAAAATGGAAATTATGAAAAATTACGTGAATAACGAAAAATTACGAGAATTATGGACATTACGAAAAACTATGAAAATTACAGAAATTATTGCCAAAATTTTCAAATGAAAAATCACTCCATAAAAAATTCTGGAAAATTGACTTATTTAAGCAAAATTAAGAGAAATTCACTTCTTACATTTTAATTTTTTTCTGGAAAACTGGCAGAGGGAAAATTTTGAAAATTTTCCAAGAAAAAGAGGAAAGTGAGGAGCTCATTATAGGAAAATTTCGAAATTTTTCAGTGAGAAATCACTCTAGGGAAAATTCTGGAAAATTGACTTTTTCAAGTAAAATTAAGGAAAATTCATCCTCTCACATTTCAATTGTTTCCTGGAAAATTGGCAAAAGAGGAAAAGAGGAAAGTCAGGAGCTCATTATAAGAAAATTCCAAAATTTTACAATGAAAAATCGCCCCAGGAAAAATTCTGAAAAAATTATTTTTTCAAGTAAAATTAAGAAAAACTCATCCTCTCACATTTTAATTTATTTCTGGAAAACTAATAAAGCAAAACTTGTGAAATTTTTCCAGAAGAAAGAAGAAAATGAGGAGTTCCATTATAGGAAATTTTCAAAATTTTCTAGTGAAAAATCACTCTAAGGAAATTCGATAGGTAAGTTCTGGAAAATTGACTTTTCTAAGCAAAATTCATCCTTTCACATTTAAATTTTTTTTTGGAAAACTGCTAAAGGGAAAATTTTGAAAATTTTCTAGGATAAAGAGAAAAGAGAGGAGTTCATTATAGGGAAATTTCGAAATTTTCCAGTGAAAAATCATTCCAGGAAAAATTCAAAGAAAATTGACTTATTTAGGCAAAATTAAGGAAAAATCATTGAGGTAGAATAATAAGGAGGCGACATAAGGAGAAAAAAGCGTATCCCACTTCCGCCATATTTTTACGACACTTCTGTCTGAGATTCTGTCACTATTGTCATAGCAACGCGTCAAAATTGCATCAGGAACGCATTTTCCATCCGAAAATTTTTTAAATGCGAAAAATTTTTGAAGCCTAGAATTCCTATTTTGGGTCATGGAAGGATCTCCTGTTTCAGTATGTTGAAGTTTCTGTAGCTTCTTTTTTTTTCTTGGTGTAATCTCGATTTTTCTAGGTTTTTTTTTTCAGTTTTGGCTATGGAGCTCACGGGCCTCTCTCGGGCCCGGGCCTGTGTGCGTCGCACACATGGCACACCGGTAGATACGCCACTGTAATTTAATTAGAGTTGTATTCTACAGAGATATAACTAATTTAGTTTTGTAGTCAATTGGTTGTAAATATAATTTTGTATTTTACCCAAGTGATTTTGTATGTTACAAAACTTGACAGTTTTTTATACGTTGAAGTGCATTGTATTACGTATAACATTTTATTTACGACTGCAATTCTAACACAATATTTTTTATAGGGTTTCAATACCAAGCGATTCAACAGTAGTAACCGAAAATATCATCCTGAATTTTGAAGAAATAATTTTGCCTCATTTAAAAAAGTAAGAATAAATTCAAAAAATGAATTTGTCTTATTGCGAATAATTTTATTTTTCAGAGAAATTAAGCAAGAATTTGAACAACTGGATTCACTGAAGCCCGACCCTGATGTAGTTCTAATCAAAGACGATCCTGAAAATATTAATTTTGAAAAATTCCAATGCAATTTTTGCCAACGGAAATTTGAGTATAATTGTAGATTAAAATCTCATTTAATAACGCATTCATCTGAACGGCCGTTTGAATGCGATTTTTGCCTTGCGAAATTCAAACGTAGAGGAGAGTTAAACATGCATTTAATAACGCATTCGGAGAAATTCGGTTTCGAATGCGGAACTTGCAATAGAAAATTCATCCAGGAAAGAAACATTAAAAGGCATTTATTCCTACATCCAGATCACAAAATGTATCATCCACCAAATAACTATTTGACTTCGAATAATTATTTCCAATGCCACATTTGTTACTATAAATTCAAAAAGATGCGAGGCCTAAAAAGACACATGCATAGTCACAACGTAAGAAATATCAAATGTGATTTTTGTGACCTCAAATTTAAGCGCAAACAAGATTTAAAGTGGCATTTGGTGGGGCATGCGGATAAGTGCGACTTTGAGTGCCACATTTGCCATCGTAAGTTTAAGAGGAAACTTAATTTAAGTTCGCATTTGGAAATTCATGATACAATTTCGAACGCTTTTGCTAAGCAAAGTTTTGGTATGCTTTCGAAAACATTTACAAACAATACAAAATTATTATAGAATATTTTTTCCATTTATATTGTATATTAAACTTTGTAGAACCAATAAATAGAGTTTTTTTTTCCAATATTATTAATTTTGAATTTGCAAAAATTTTTAGAAAGCTGCAACTATCGAAAATACCTAGTTAGCGTTAGTACTCCTAGTAAACATACCAAAAGTTCCCATTCGTCCGTTTTTTGTGTCAATAGAAAAAAAAATCCGTCATCTTCAATTTCGGCACTTTTCGGAAAAAATCGTGAATAAGTCAAAAACGGTACATTCTATCGAAAAAACTCAAGAGGGGAAAATTGAATAGTATGAAAAAATGGAGAAGGTATCATAAAAACTGAATGCGTACCATAACCTAGTAACAATCTAGAATTTTTTGAATTTTTGGAAATTTAGCAAAATGAAGAGAACCAGACCATAATGTTAATGCATTTTTTCAATCCCAATTAACAAATAATTTTTTTTTAACATTTATTTAAATAAAAAAACACTGTAAAAGTGTTATCTATATATTAATTTAATTCAACTACCCTCCTATGAACTAATAATGAGTAATCGCACATTCAATATGATAATACTATTCAACGCAAAAAAATTGACATTTTTGGTCAATTTTACAATCTTATTACAGTGAAAAAAGGTTGCCCTAACTTTTCCAGCGACAAAATTGAACCAGCTTGACATGACCAGCAAAATTCGTCATTAGGGAGGTTTTAAGTCCCTTATTTAACGTAGAAATCACATTATCGGTTATAGTGCTCATGCTCATGCGCAGTAGCCAGAAAACAACCGATCCCGCTATTAGATGATCAGGGTTGGATGAACCCACCGGGAAATACCCGGTGGGCCGATCTTTAGAACAACAGAACCTTTATCAAGATACTTTTAAATGGACGATCTCCATTAGGTCTGTTCTTACAGAAATCACGAACCCAGTCAGAGCGTTTTTGATTGGTGGTTGTGATTTCTGTGAGAACAGGCCTTATGGAAGCACAAAGAATTAATAGTCAATTTAATTCATGATGCACTGATGCAACATGGAAGAAATATTAGGAAGTGCTAAAAATGTCAGATGGGCCAAATACAGTACTGGAAGCAAATGAAAGAAAGAAGTAGCAGGGGAGGAAGCAGAGATGATACTCCTCCAGCTACTGCTATTTTTAAATTTCAGGTGTAAATACGTGATGTTGCCAATAATTACATCATAATACAAAATATTGGTTTTGTGCTAATTTGTCCTAATCAATTTTTCCGAACTAATAAAAAAACTGCTTGAAAAGGTCGGAACTGTATGATCTCCCTGAATTTACCGATGAAGAATGTAGATGAAGATGATATAGGAAATGAATTAGAGTTGTTAAATGATTTAAGTTGTATGATCGCCTTGAATCAAACGATGAAGAATGTAGATGATGTAAATAACACAGGATTAGATGCAGGGCATGGATTAAAGTTCTCTTCAAATTTACGCTGCAAGCAATGTTTGGTTTTGTATAAGTAAAAATACGGAATTTACATCCGTGCTTGCAGACATCTTTAGAGCCTACCAATATGTCCTCACTTCAGCGTACGCACACAAGTAGGAAGCGAAAAATGCTTTTCAGTTTTCAACATTTTATAATGCATAAAAAAGTTTCGCGTTGCCGGTTTTGTTTTGCTAGATACTTGTATCATACAGGAGGCTGTTGATTAACTTCGGTTTATTCGGTGCCTTTCTCATTGAATGTAGACAATTATGGACCAGAGAGTGAAAAAACGTTTACGCTTTAACGATCACGATGATATTACCCTTTTACGTGAGGTTTTGGGGCAGAACCCTATCGAAAATCCAGCTGTTTGGGCAACCATACAAGAGAATATGCTCTCTGTGACAAAAAAAAACTTTTCCATACGAACACTCAAAGAACATTTGGAGTTGCTTATCAAATTATGGCTCAAGGAACTCAAAAATCTTGAAAACCTGTAAGTACCTACCTATTTTTTTCTACAATTTCCACGCCTAGTAAGTACACCGAGAAGTACACTTTGATTTCATAAAAGCTCATGTTGGCATAACGTGACAACCTTCTACCATAAGCCTGCATAAGTACCATTTAAGCTGGATTTATACAGCAAATAAGATGAGATAAAATAAGAAATAACAGTTAACCGCATGAGATAGTTGAGATACCCTTAAAGTGTTTATACAAAAAATAACATAATAAAATAAAATAAAAGTTGGCCAACTTTAATGTGGAGCTGAACCAGTGGATGAATTATGCATTGGTTTTTTTATTCCAGATCTGGAATAGTAGTATGTATTATATACAGAAAAAGATCATTTATGCCAGAGTATTAATGAGCTCTTATGTGCCGAAGAAAACACAAAAAAAGCTGAGAAAAACACATTTGTTTCGAAAAAATTGGGTTTGGAAGCACGTGACCAATGTGCTTCAACATCAATAACGGCTCGTGACTATTTCAAGTATAAGATTTCATGAAATTCCTCGGAATTCCATTAAGATTTCAATTTCAAAATTCCATATTTTTTTTTCTACTTTACTAAAATTCCTCAAAATTTTACCACTGAAATATCCTGGAATTCCACAAAATTTTCATAAAATTCTTTGGAATTTCATGTAATTTCTTAAAAATTTCTCGGAATTCACTAAAATTTTATGAGAATATCCACGTTCATAACTCGAAAGTCCAATGAAACTTCAAGGAATTTTCAAAATTTGATTTATTTTCATAAGAATTTTTCGGAATTTCACTGAAATTCTCTTTTAATAGCCAGGTCTGGGAATATTAATGAAGTTTCAAGTAATTTCTTAAAAATTCATCGAAATATATTGAAATTTCATGTTATTACATGGTAATTTTTCGGAATATCACCGAAATTCCATGTTTTTAACTGGAAATTCCTTGGCATTACTAAAATTCAGTAAAAACTGAAATTTCATGTTGGGAATTTAAGTGTAATTTCATGTAATTGTTTAAAATTCCTCCATGTAATTCATTAAGGTTTTCGTATAATTCCATCGGAATTTCACTGAAATTTCAAGTAATTTGAGAGGAATTAAAATTTAATGTGAATTCTATGGAAACTCCGCAAAAATATCTCATCTAATTCCTTTTTCAGAATAACGTAATTATTCTACCGAAATTCCACTAAATTATGGAATTCTGAGATTTTAATAGATTTTTGGGGATTCTAAAGGATATTTGGGAATTTTAAAGGAAATATTTTTCAGAAATGTCAATGAATGGGTTTAAAATAACCTATAAATCGAGATTTGATAAAAACATGGCAACGCTGCTCATGATACAGCAAACGTCAAAAAATTGAAATATCAAAGTAGGCCTTAGTTTTTTTGACAGTCGATATAAAATGGCGTCTTTTTGTTTCAAAGATTATGATCCGAAGTATTAAAATCAGTTGACAATGAACAGATCGTATAATTCCGGCCCTTCGGGCTCGTATAACCTCGGACCTTCAGGCTCATGATTAAAATAACTCCGGCCCTTCGGGTTCGCATGATTTCGGCCCTTCGGACTCGTATTACCTCGGCCCTTTGAGCTCATAATTGAGATAACTTCAGCCTTCCAGAATCGAGATTCGAAAAAAAAACATATGGCAACACTGCTCATAATACAACAAACGTCGTGTTTGACTACTTTTTACGTATTCGCCGTGGCTAAATCTATATGCCCATGTGGGTTTTTTTTTTTTAATTTTGACAACTGTCAATGTCAAAAATTTTTACCTTTGCTTTTTTTCAAAAAACAAATGTCAAAAAACGATCCCCAGGCTCCGAAAACCCTAAATTAAGAAGTTTCATCGATATATGTTAAAAACCAACCACCTGGCAACGTCAAACGTCTTTTTTGACATATGTAAAAAAAAAAAAAAAATTGGTACTTCCTACGTATTCGCCGAGGCTAAATCTATATGCTCATTAAAATTTTGACAGCTGTCAATCTCAAAAAAAAGATTCTTTTGTTTTTTCCAAAAAACAAAGGTCGTTTTTTAATGGGTTTTAGGGTGAGATTTATGTAGCAACAGTTAGTACAAAAATTCAATTTCCCGTCGGGTTTGGAATTCGAATTTTTGAATTTTCCCGGCTCCTGATTGGTTTGGGGATTCGAATTTTGTTTATTCCCGGCTCTTGATTGGCTTTAAAATAATCTATATTTTCGGCCCTTCGAGCTCGAGATTTGAAAGAAAAACATATAGCAACACTGCTCATGATACAACAAACGTCAAAAAATTGAAATTTCAAACCTTGGGTTTTTTTGACAATCGATACAAAATGACGTCTTTTTGTTTCAAAAAGTACGGCCCGAAGGGCCGGAGTATGAAAAATCAATTAACAATAAACGGGTTCGTTCGGATATAACTTTTGTCGCACGACACTTTGGCAATATCGACAAATGTCACCTGTCAAATTTGACACATGTTTGACTTTCTCCGCTCTACTATAAAAGCTACGAAAATCGAACTCCAATACAAGGCAGTTTCGCGACGCTATCGATTTGTGTCAAAAAAAATTGACAGCTGTCAACGTCAAAAAAGTTTTTTTTTTAATTTTGCGAATTTCGAGAAAAGAACCCACTAAACAATGTAATATCGCTTTAATATTTCAGTAATGTTTCTAGATAATATTGTAATATTTTATTTTTTATTGCAGCTATATAAGTGCAAGGTTGCTGCAATTACTGAAACGGACTTATTCTAATATTCACAAATGCAATGTTTACAAAATATACTTTTCTGCAATATCGCCTCAATGTTGTATTTTCATAAAAATTACATTATGTTTGTAACATTTTAAATGCTAGCTTACAGAAACCTGCATTTAACGTTGTTTATAAAGTTAGATAAATATTACAGTAGCAATATTTTTATTTGTACTTTACAGAAATTTACATAATGAAATATTGTATATATGTATATAGATACTTATTTAATATATCGTGAGGATTTGCATTATTGCAAGATCCTTTATTTTCAAATTCCCTTTTCAACTTTCAATTTCCAATTGAACTTATCACGCATGCCTCGATTCTTCCAACGTAGGTATTGTAAAAA